GAGGCTTCGCTTCCCGCGCCCGCTCACCCGTCTCGCACGCCAGCTGCGTGCGCGCGTCTTCGCCCGTTATCTGGCCATTTTCGCTTACCCCGCGCGCACTACACTCAAGTGCGCGCACTTCTGCTGTCTCTCGTGCTAGCCTCTTGCGTGCATGGTAAGCGCGACTTGCGGCGTTCTTGAGCTGCCTAGCCACTTCCGCATCACGCTGGAACAGCGTTGTGCGCGACGGCGGTGCTGGCGGGAAGGCATGGAGAAGGGCTAAGGTGGTCGTGGCTTGAAGTATGTTCAGCGGCCAAACTTGTGAAACTCATTGTGAAGGTTTGCCGAAGGGTCGCGCGCTCAGGGAGGTTCATGGCGGCACTGATGCGCGCCCACGGTGGTCGGCTGAGGGTGGAGGGCGAACAACATAAAAGAGGGTGACGGGGAGGGGCTGACGAACAAGACTCCATCTTTTGGGCTGAGATGGAGGATTCTGATCGATGGGAGGAGACGATCAGAATGGCTGTGATTTGAAGGCGATGAAGATCGATTTATGATCGAATTCAGGGCGTGTGAAATAGGTTTTAATGCGACTGGCTTGGCGTACTGTATTTCTGAAAAATTTGATGTGGGTTAAGATATATTTGGGCTGAGAAACTAGGCTACTCTTTGGGCCGAGATTTTACTTGCAACTGGGCCGATAAAATTAAATTGCCAAGGTTCGGATATAACGCCAACGAAACGGGTCGAATGGAATCAACTTTACGCGATTAAGCCAAAAATTAAATTCGATTGGGTCGGTTTTTCTCCAAGGTTCGACAATTAATAAAAAAGCTCGGTTAAATAAAATTAAACCGGATAGCATATGCGTATATATATATATATATATATATATATATATATATATATATATTGCACGAGAATTATTTATTAATAATAGACAATCAATAACAACTAGGAAACTAATAGCAATGAAACAAATAACGAAAACAATAATAATAATAATAATAATAATAATAATAATAATAATAATAATAATAATAATAATAATAATAATAATAATAATAACATTAATAATGCAATAAATAATCTCAAATATTCATAAACAAATGGGGGCATTACAGTCTACCCACCATACTAAGAATTCCGTCCTCGAAATTCGAAAACAAAACAACCAGAAAGTATTAGAATACAAAAGAGAATATTACACCAGGTGTTACACTCCCTCCGAATCTCGGTCTCTCTCCTCCATGTCGCCTCACCCTCGACTTGACTTCCTCACTGGACTTGACGAATACCCCTCTCGGCCTCTCTCTGATGGACCCTCAGTTCCAACAGGTCACCGGTACCTCCATACAGGTTGGGTTCTACCTATCACGCAGCTTGTCACAATTTACACATACTTCGAGATCACGCACACATTCCCTCCATCACGATGCTTAGAACATGTCATGCTTCCTCGAAGTCCCATTGGTGGAGTTAACCATCAGGCTAAGCTTTCGACTTGGTCGACGAATCATAACATATTCTCAAATCTGTACATCCAGAACACACGGTTCTGTTTGATACCGATGACATGGCTTAGATCCTTACCGATACGAATAACAGCTCGTATGCAGTTTCAGAAGCAACGACAAGATACTCGATAACGATTTTCTTCCACGGAGTCTGTCTCTAGTCGAGACTCAAGGCTCCGCCCTCACATAACTACGGAAACTACTATCTCGCCATCTCGAGAAAATCTCGCATGTGTCAAAGGAAACTAATCGACAAACCCTTGTCGAGAATTGATCAGATAGTCGATTCCACAGCTGGTTGCGAGATGCTGAGTATGATGGATGCGTCCCAAGGGTACCATCAAATTCTCTTGGCGCCCGAGGACCAAAGTAAAGTAAGTTTTGTCATGAGAAAAGGGACATATTGTTATGTCGTCATGCCCTTTGGACTCAAGAATGCGGGAGCGACCTACCAAAGATTAATGGATCGCATGTTCAAACCTCAGATTAGGCGGAAAATAGAAGTATATGTTGACGACATCCTGGTGAAGAGTAAGTCCTCGACCTCACATCCGGACGATTTAAGGGAGATTTTTAAAACCCCTAGAGCATTCGAAATGAAGTTGAACCCGAGCAAGTGTGCCTTTGGATTAAAGGCAGGACGATTCTTGGGGTATGTCGTCACGGAGCAAGGGATCGAAGTAAACAAAGACAAGGTGAAAGCCATACTCGACATGGCCCTACCGAGAAACATAAGAGAAGTGCAAGTCTTGACAGGAAGAATCGCGGGATTGAGCAGGTTTATTGCTCGAGCGGCCGAGAAAAGTTTTCCCTTCTTCAAATTGCTAAAGGGGAAGGCGGCTTTCCAGTGGAGTGACGAGGCACAAGTGGCATTTGAAAAGCTGAAGGAATTTTTGAGCGAGCTGCCCCTCTTGACAAAACCTGACCCTGGTGACGAGTTGATGTTATATGTAACACCCCGCTAGCTTATTAAAATCAGAGTCAAATTTTAGCAAATCCTTTTCTAAAAATACGTATTAGTTTGCGAAATCGTGATTCGGGATGCTACTGAAAAACCTTTCTTTTCTGAAAATCCGTTATCTTTTCTGAGTTAAAACTGTTAAGAACGACGGATTATCATTTGTCTAATAAGCATGTAATATTATACAATTCGACCGGTAAATGGGATCCAAAAGCTGAAAATCAACATGCTGGTTTGAAAACCTGAAAATATCAGCGGAAGTAAAAACATGGCAAAATACATATATACATGTCAAAAGTCTGCAAAATTATATGTAGTCAAGCCCACGACCACCAGCTCAGCTCACTCCTCTGGATCGACCCTGTGACCTGAAAAAGATAATATAGTGGGGGCGTGAGCACTAAAAGACACTGTGCTCCGCAGAAACTCATACTGAAATAAAACAGTAATAATAATTGCGATATCATGATCAGAGGCATATATATAATCTGTGTGTGGTACTGAAACTGATACTGGCTGATCAACAGTATATAAACTGCTATTGGATCAGATACTGAATCTGTTTGCTATGTCTGAACCCATGTGCACACCCTAGTGGGCAGATTAGGCCACTAGAAACGGAATTACGCACCTGAACTGGCCACCATTCTAAGCGGAACTGGATATACATACCTTGACATGATAGCGGTAATTATACTCAATGTAATACTCAGTCTGAGTCCCCACCTTAACTGCTAGTTTGAAACTGTAAATGCTGCTGCTGATCAAACTGAAAAATATATAAATAAACAAACTAAAGTACTATGCTCAGACTGACTGAAAATAACTGCTAAGATGCTCGACTCGAACTTAATTATTTAACAGGATTTACTGAAATAATCTCGGGTCTAACAAGACTGATAAATCTGAACTGAACTGGAAACATTTAACTGAACTGGTACTGCTATACTGGACTGACTGAACTGAAAACTTAACTGAAATACTGAACTGAATTGACTGAACTGACTGAACTCGGATCGAGTCACTGAGTCTTGAA